TTCACATTTAAGTTTTTCATCCATCTGGAGTTAGTTTTTTGTATGATGTTGGGTTCAGATCTTGTTTCATTTTTCTGCAAATGGATCTCCAGTTTTGCCAGCACCATTTATTAAACAAACATTCTTTTCCCCATTTAATGGATTTAGGCCCTTTGTCAAAGATCAGCTAACCATAGGTTGATGGATCTATTTCTGGGTCTCAATTCTATTCCATTGGTCTATATGTCTGTCATTGTCCCAATACCAGGCAGTTTTGACTACTGTGGTTGTATAATAGGTTGTGAGATCCAGCAGTGTGAGACTTCCTACTTTGTTCTTCTTCTTCAATAGTGCTTTGCTTATTCTGGGTCTCTTTCCTTTCAATATAAAGTTAGTGATTTATTTTTCTATATCCTTAAAGAATGTTGATGGGATCTGGATTGGGATTGCATTGAATGTATAGATTTGCTTTGGGTAGAACAGACATTTTCACAATGTTCAATCTTCCTATCCACAAGCATAGTACGTTCTTCCATTTATGTAAGAATGTATGTAAACCATACTCCATAAGAGTATGGTTTCTTGAAGTAGTTTTTTTATAGTTTTCTTTGTATAGGTCTTTTGTGTCCCTGGTAATATTTATTCCCAAGTATTTTATTTATTTATTTTTTTGGTAACTATCATAAATGGTATTGATTTCCTTATTTCTTTTTCAGCAATCTCTTTGCTGGTATAGAGGAATCCAACTGATTTTTGGACGCTGATTTCGTATCCTGCCATGATGTTAAATCTCTCAATTAGTTCCAGTAGATTTTTGACTGAGTCTCTTGGGTTTCCTAGGTATAGGCTCATCAGCAAACAGGGATAGTTTGACTTCTTCCTTACCAATTTGGATGCCTTTGATTTCCCTTTCTTGCTTATGGGCCTGGCTAGGACTTCCAGTACAATGTTGAATAGAAGAGGTGAGAGAGGGCATCCTTGTCTGGCTCCTGTTTACAAGGGAATGGTTTCAGTCTTTCTCCATTGAGAATAATGTTGGCTGTTGGTTTTGCATAGATGCCCTTTATTATGTTGAGGAATGTCCCTTCTCTTCTTATTTTGCTGAGAGTTTTGATCAAGAATGGGTGTTGGATTTTATCAAATGCCTTTTCTTCATCAATTGATATGATCATGTGGTTCTTTTTGTTTTATTTATGTGGTGGAGGACGTTGATTGTTTTTCTAATGTTGAACCATCCTTGTATACCTGATATGAACCCCACTTGGTAATAATGAATGATTTTCTTGATGTGTTGTTGGAGTCTATGGACTAGGATTTTGTTATTTTTGCTTCTATATTCATGAGGGATATTGGTCCATAGTTTTCCTTTTGAGTGATGTCTTTGCCTGGTTTTCATATCAAGGTTATGCTTCCTTCATAAAATGAGGTAGGGAGGATTCCATCCTTTTCTGTGTTTTGGAATAGTTTCAGTAGGATTGGTGTCAGTTCTTCTCTGAATGTTTGGTAGAATTCTCTAGTGAAACCACTCCAGTGGCATCCTTGATCAGATTTGCCAGAGTCTTATCTTTTAAGTCCCAACTATGTATCCCACTCTAAAGTGTCAACACCTAGACTCATTACCTGGAAATTTCTACTGACAAGGGTTTCCTTTCATGGTAATAATGGCCAAATTAAGCCTGAGCTTGTTAAGTCTTTGGATACTAATTTCATATCACTTTTGGATATAAGGGGGAGGTATCAGTCCTTTGGGAGCTCTGGTAGCATACTGGCTAAGGCACTTGACTGCTAACCAGAAGGCTGGCGGTTCAAACCCACCAGCCACTCCTCAGAAGGAAGATGGGGCAGTCTACTTCCGTAGTGATACTGCCTCGAAAACCCAAGGAGGGGTCGCTATGAGCCAGGTCTGACTCGACGGCACATAACAACAACAACAACAACAACAACATCAGTCCTTTGGTGGATTCTAGCTTTAGATCTACATGTTCCAGAAGTTTCTTCATCACCACAGACCAAGTAGCATACCTTATATTCAAATTATCTGAAATATAATTTGAACTCACAGGACAGAATAAAAGAACATTTGAGCAAGAAGAGCCATTAGAAGGGATTTATTTTACAAGTGAGGTGACTAAATTCCAGAGAGATCAAAGTGATTTGGCCCAGGTAACATAATCAGTGATGGGAAGCAGTTTGAGACTTTATTGTGCTATCAAAATGAGAATGAATACTAGGTGATTTAAAGTACTTTAAGTATACCCCAAAATAAGTTATTTCATCCTTGAGCTCTAAAGTTTACTTACACTGAAGCCAGCAGTCCAAAAGCACAGTAATTACAAAGCTGGGTACTGTTCTCCTGTCCTTTTCTTTTCCTGGTCTTTGTATGAAAGGTAGCTCTGCCAACCCACTTCAGGGATATGCACTTCATTTTTTAAAAAACC